TCGTCGCCCCGAGGGGCCGGCGTGCAAAGTGCATACGGCCTCACCGTTGAGGTCCTCTGCGCCTCGGCTATCAGGCGCGACATGAAGGGCACTGTTATAAAGTTGACCAGGCGCGGCGGTAAGAGGCAGGTCTTGCCGCTCGCGGAGGTTGGCGCTGCCAGCCGCGGGGATCGCTTCGACGAGGTACACATCGGTAAAGAGCGCTTGTTTTTCGGCCTGGGCGATGGCGCATCCAGGAGCGCTCGCCTCAGGCTAGAGGTGGAGCGCATGCGGGGTGGAATGTTTAGTACCAAGAAAGAGAGGGTGCATGTGGCCTCTCTGGACTTCAGACTAGATGAGATGCAGTCTCTTAACCGGGGCGCATCGTTCACCATGTCGTGTGCGGATAGTAGCCACAGCCGGGAACTGATGACATGCGTCCTTGAGGATATACACTCTCGATCGGATCACGTCAAACTCCGATTAAAGATTGAACGGTAGTAGCATTCTTGTACTTGTGTTGATGCGTATAAAATGAAGCCTCTTGACGGCATGTGGAGGTGCGTTCACATGGGCCGTTAGGGATTTTGCCCTGGCCGAGTCAGCGCGAAGTCCTTTCGTAAAGGGACGTGATGTTTTCTGACTTTTATTGGCGAAGATGTATTAATAGCATTGGCATGTACAAACCCCACTTCTACGTGTTAGTCAAACAGTTTCCTTCTTCCCGTTAGTAACAAGAACATAGGTATGCCTCCGCGAGCGTGCCATGAGGCCTTGTTGAAAGAACAAATTGTGTCAAGCAGCGATACCGATGGGTGGTGAAATAGTAGCGTGAAGTAGGGGCATACGGGGGGCACGTTGAACGCCTATGACTGGTGGCAGAAGGGCATATCACACAGGTGATGATTGACGAATCACGCAAAGTTCTAACGGCTGTATCGCAAGCTAATTGGCCCAAAGTGGTGGAAAGCGCCGTTTCCCATCTCAAGCGGTGTCGCCTACCACCGACTCCTTCAGCGGATGGCCAGTGAGCCGCCTCCAAGGGCATCTCCCGTGCCAGATTGCTCCTAATTTTTCTGCATTTTTTTGCACAAACCTCGCCGAGATCAGCCTCCCCAAAACCAGTTTTATCTCTCCACCACCCCTTCCACACCGGCGCCTCCCTCTACCCGCCTCCCCCAACTCCCACAGAGCCTTGACCTCCTTCCACACCACAACGCTGCCCCTCGCATCTTAGGGCTTGACTGCTCTCGCGCCTATCTGTTCAAACCCTCATTAGCCTTGGTCACAACCGCGACTTGCCAGAGAGTCGCCCCCGTCATGATGTCCGACGCGCGCGGCGGGAGCTCGGCGGGTCTTGTTCGCAATATCTCCCTTCAGCGGCAACAATATGGCGTCCAACCAAGTCCGCGAATAGCGCACGAAGGCGTACCGCGTGTGTCTTCTTTCTCGCCTATGGTCGCCAACCAGGCCCCGGCCCCAATGTACTGCCCGAGTCACGACGAAGACGCCGACGGTATGGTACCCGACCTGCAACCGCATGACGATTTGCAACAACACCAGATGGTGGCAAGGCTGAGAAGGCCCCGTTCGCTCGGATACGAACGCGACATGGAGCGCGAAAGCATCGCAGACTCGAATGACTCGCCTGTCTCACGCGCAAGGGAGAGGTCTATCTTCGTCGACAACGGCTGTGACAGCGGGAGCGATTTCTCGAAACCCGACTACATCTACTCTATGCAACAACTACATTGCATAAATGGCCCACCGTCAGATATACATGTAAGCCCATTTTCAATATGTGAAGACTCATGGCTCATTGCGCAAATACGACACGCTCTTCTGCTAGGTATCGCTCCGATGCACATCTTTATTCCGCCGGCGTCCCGAATGTGCGCCATGGGCTCGCCAGACTTGGAGGCCAAGTTTCTCTTCTTATCAGCCACAAGTGTAATGATTGCCGTTGTTGCCGTCGTATTTTCCTTTTCTCTTTCATCCGCGCAGCCGCTGCTTCTCCCGACTGTTGCCATCGCACTTACCCCGGCAGTTGGACGATACTCAGGCAGCCTTACCATGGCAACTGTTACTTGTGCAATCGGCGTTATATCGTACGCAGTCACGACTGCGCGTCTGGCATCCGTGGTCATGTTGGTGTGGACATCCCTAGTACCGGTACTTTCCTTTGCTGCGTTGGGCACCCGTGCTGGCGTTGCTTCATCCTTCGCTACCGCTGCTGCCGTCTTCGCTGCAGACTTTTCCGGCCCACTTCCTGAAGCACGCGTCTCGCTTGCAGGAACCATTGCTGCTTGGGTTCTCTTCCTAGGATGGACTGGAGTAGTGCAAACACAAATAAGAAAGATGAAGTGTGGGAGTGGGAGAGCTGTGTGGGGTCAAACCTGGGCGGGTGGAGGGTACTACAGTGATGAGAGCGCATCTAGAGGTGGGCGGAGCAGTATGGAGCGAAAACGGGGGGAGCATACGTCGGGGGACGTGGATGCTTTGGTTCCGGATGCCGCCGACAGAGTGTTCCCGACATCGACAATGTACTAGAAGAAGTTGTCTGTAGATATTGCAATATATTATGATTTTGAATAACATTGATGGAGCGTGCAGCTGCGCTCAGGAGTTGGAGGAATAGAAAACAACGAGAGTCTGAACCACAGCGAGTGACACCAGTCGCACGAAGGGCGTAAGCTTTTTTTTTTACTGATCAGGAAACGCGGTCACTTTGCGAGTAACTTCGGCTAGCCGGTGAGCTCCGCGGCAGCCTTCTTAAGGAGAGCTACAAGTAGTCGGCAGTTATACCTTTCTACTATGTTCTAAAGTAGTTTCATTGTACAGTATTCGTGTTCTGTCGTCGGTGTTGCGGGTCCCATTGACGAATTCGATCAACTGGTGTATTGCGGTCCATACTCAGGAGGCACGGGGGGGATGTCAATGTGGAGCCGAAATCCCTCTGAGTCATCTTTAGAATCCTTCTTCTCACCTTGACCCTTCTTGGAATCGGACTTCTTAGGTGCCTTGCTCGGGCTGGGTTTGCCCTTCGAAATACCTCCTGTGGGATTCATGATGGTAGCGGCCTTAAAAAGTCGCAAATGTATTTGACCTCTGGTATTTCTCGGATTATGTTGGACAAGTTGATGAGCGTGGCAATTGTGAGTGCGGATGGCGGGAGGGGGATGGCAGGCAATAGAGCCGGCGAGGGTTGTGCTTATAAATGGAGACTTGGCTGTCTCGAAAAGCACTGGAAAGCATTTCTTTCCACTGCCTCCCATGTTGACATAGCAAGTTCCACAATGTGCATGGCAACCCACCCGCTGCTCTGATGAGAATGTAGCCTGTGAAGCTCGGAAACAAAAGCCGGTCCAAAAACAAAACTGATTTGTACGCCCGCTGTCTCTATTCCAGGCTCCTACTGTACGGTAGGGTAGGTCGCGGGTAGGGTCGCCGAGCGGCGCTGGCGCTTCTGATTGCAGGCTGTGAAGCAGTCCATTACGTCTTGCTACGGAAGGGATTATCTCCGCACAACGTGTTCTTCATTCGAACACTCCAGTATGAGTTCCGCTTATAGTGCACCCTCTAGAGAGTTGCCCCTCTTGCAATTCCAACTACGTCAGCTCCAGTACAGAGGGTGTCGACCCCTACAGGTGTATACACACCTCTGGCGAGTGCCAATCCAAAGATAGAACAACGCCGCAGTTGTCGCCGCCACGTTCCGGTCTGCTCAGGGCAGGTAGACAACCAGCTCAAGGAGTGCGCCATATGTTGATAATTGTAGTGAAGAATTGCAGAGGGAGGCAGGCACGTGACAGTGGGCTCATTGGTGCGGGCTCGCTTGCGGCGGTCCTGGATTTTTTGAGCAACAAAACACGCGGATACACCCAATGCGTTGCCAATCATGATTCAGTAACAATTTTATTATAGAACCAGGATAGGTGAGGGTCTTTGTCTACCCAGTAAGATCTTGTACTGCCCCGCTGTACCCGAAAAACTGTTTTAAAAGTCTTCTATCTTACATGGCCTCCGGCTCTAGAACAATGCAAAGACCAGTCTGCGAGGTGTCCGATACTTGAACGGGAAGTGTTTCTGGAGCTTGGAAGTTTAGGCGAAAGGACCTTTCTGCGTTGTTGACATTCCTGTTCTCTTCATTAGAACTCAAAGTGAGCCGCACGCATGTGAATTCATTTGCGGAAGAAACATTGTTGAAAAGGTGTGTTGTATTTGAAGGTGCTTTGAGTTCTTATTTTGTCTCGCATGACGTAAGAGGAAGTCCACCCAAGGCTCGTGGAAAGCGGAATGCCAATAAATTTACACGGTCCGTTGCTGAGGCGAGCAAGATGCGGTGGACTCATCTGCCGTGTGTGTAATTTTGAAGACCTTTGCCCTTTGCCATATGCCGTAGGGCTATGCCTTGAAGCCATTCAAACTGCGAGTCTGCGAGTCAACAAGGCAACAGTGCTATGGGAGGAATTGAAATTCCACCCCCGGCTATATCTCATTCCTTGAGTAGTCTGTAAACAGTATGTAGTGCGATTTCACCCATCCGCTTTCGCTCCCTTGTGTTCAACGGCACGAATGCTATTAATATCACTAAAAAAATGTCCGCAAAATAGACTCAAATTGGAACACGACAGGCCTATCTTCCTAATTTCAACGCTCCGCAGAAACCCCAGCTCATCCGCAACGCAATGTTTTTTCAGCACAGCATGGTAAACGCGCTATAGAAAGCCCTATCATCTCATTTCTCTTGCAGTCATTGAAGGCCATGCACGCTGTATCTCGTCATGCAGCGCATGATCCATTCAACGGTGAAAGCGCTCCTCCACCAGTCCCGAGTTTCTCGATCAAGTCCAATATCGCGACAGCCTGCACCGTGCAGGTGAGGATGGCTGTCGCGATATTGGAGGTGTGCATTTTGAAAAGGAGTCCAGGCTGCACGCCTTTTCACAATGCACGCCTCTCTTGCACACCCCAAATGCAATCTTGATAGCCTAAGCATGTGATACCGTGTACCGGCGAAGATTCTTTGAATACCGTAAAGCACCCTGTTAACTTTGTTTTGTTCCTTAAAATACCCTAGAGTTTCTGCCTGTAGAAGCAAGTGCAGTACTGGACACCGAGAGATCGAAAAGATACATTTTCTTTTTCATGTTCGGGGCCGTTCAGGGCATATATGCTCCGGAGTTTTGTAACACTTCATCCTTACAACAATACCTGCCCTTTAGTTGGGGTCGGCGCTGTCTGACCGCACACACACACACACATTCGCCAACGCACTTTGCACTTGCCTGACCGCACAGGACAGGCTGTCATTAGAGAGGAGTATATATACACCTAGAGACGACGACGAGTAAAGGAAGAGGCTATCGGACCCCGTGATCACACAGGCGCAGCATACCGTAGCGTAGACGCACCTGCCATTACATACACATATAGTGTACTGTACCCTTAAGGGTACCCTTAAGGGTACAGCAAGCTTCTAGTGTGAGAGCATTGTGGTCTCTAATATAATACATGGCCTGGAGTCGCAGCAGCGATAATCCTGCAAGTCTGCATGACATTCACGAACTGTTTGTAGTCACAAGACTAAACTCAACACATCTATATCAACACATGTAGATTTCTTCCACCTCCCTTGAAACAAGGTCCCTCTGTACTCTTTCCAGAAACTGCGTTTGGCGAATTCCTCTAAACAGTCGTCGACTGGCAGCAGCATAGTAAATACCATATCGTCCAGTAGTGTGAAAAATGTTATGCGTTCAGATCGCCCCTTCTTCAACGTCTCCCAAATGGCCCTCCCTTCATTACTAGCTGTGAAACAGACTCTGTGGAAGACATATTTCTTGTTTTGGCTGATGGCATGGGAGGAGATGAGTCGTAGAAAACCAAATTCCAGTATGGGCAGTTGAGCTCTCTAAATTACTGCTGGCAGTTTGTGACTTCAATCAAACGAAATCGGAGGTCCATGTTTAGCAGAATGGTGACGCTTTTCTTCGTTTATCTTCAAACAGTTCAAGTTTAGAAGCCTCAATCTCTACAAACAAAACTGCAACCTTTGACTACTTTCCATGAGACCAAGGACTATCAATTTGTAAACCTTATTCGTGACGTTGCCTAGATCCAAAACCAACTGACATGTACTGTAGATGGTAGCCAACCCAGAGGTCCGACCCAATCTGTGATCACCGCTCTCGTTCCCCAGGCGACTGGCATCTGCTCTGAACCTCTGATCCGTACACGAACGCGGACAAGCCGAAAAACACGAAGCTGAGCAGCCCGGCCAGACTCTAGAAGACGAGGTCAAAAGCGTAGACCACTCGTTTGCCACGTGGAAGGGCTCGTCATGCTGCCAGACGATTCCCGCAGGGGCTGCGAGCTAATAGACAGACGCCTAGACTTGGGCTTAGAGCTACACGGCGACATGAAGCGGTCCCTGGGGGGAAAATTGAGTGGTACAACGATATAATTCGGGTTAAACTTGAGACAGTCTCTGTGCCTGCACCCTCTCGAGGCTGTCATCGCGAAAATTAATTTAGGGACTCACAAGAGAATGGCAGCATCTTTACAGATTGACGTGCCGCTCGTACGGGTTTTGGGGTTTCTCTTGTGGGGCGCAACGAAGGAAAAAGAGACAGAGCTCGGTGGAGCTAATGACACTGTAGACTCCGACGTGGAAGGGGATAGATAAAACGGAGCAATGGGGCGGGTTTGCATGTTCTATTTTGAGGATGAGAATACAGCTGTCTTTGTGCACACCTTGGAAGACGATCAAGGTGACGGCGGTGGTACTGGGGTTGTGAGAGTAGGGCAGGTTTGGTGGGTATTCAAAAAGAAGATATAGCTGAGGCGGCAGGGGTATCATTGGATGCTGTGTCAGTAGAGAGTTTCTATCATTGTGAATGGTTGCACATGCATTGACATCTACATATTCGTCATAACTGTGTGCGCTATGAGGGCCACGGGAGCTTATGCTGGAGCTTTAGGATCTCGAGACGATGGTGCGATGTACGTCTGAACGTCTCTGGACGAATCGACTGGAGTTTCGCCCACTTAGATTCCCCGTGAAATAAAACAAGAGAGAGGTAGAGCAAGGTGGTCAGAATCGGTGTGACATGACCGACATATGCGTGAGCGAGTTTAAGTTAAAAGTCTTTGTTCGCCATGTCGATGAAGGCTTCTTTGTAACTTATTGTGGCACGATGGACCATCGTGCCTACCGTAGGTAGCTTCCTAAAACGGCTACCATCGTGCCTACGATGGTAGCCGTTTTAGGAAGCTACTATTTAGAGTATTGAAGCTTGTCACTGTCCATTTAAGACTAACTCCCGAGGTAAACAAGGGGGCAGAGGACTCGCACCTCTCAAGCACAGAAGCTACATTTATTCTTGTGTGTATCTACTAGATAGAATTTGATCTCGTATGAGGCCAGTTGACCTCATAGGAGGTTACTTTTCAACTTGTTTTCCGCGCTTATACTTTGTCAACAAGGACGAGAAAGATATCATCGCCACCACACTTGATTTTTACGTTTCGGAAGGATATATTTCAGTGAAAACTGTTTGTCCTTTCTAGTCAATTTTAAGTATGCTTAGCAAAGCAGCTTTTTAAGCCTTAAGAAGTTTTGCATTGATCTCTTCGAACCTAAAAAGCCCTTTTAAAAAGCTAACAGGGTATTTTAAATCTATTGTATTCTTAGTCTTGGATTGTATGCAAAACTGCTATCCCGATGTTCTGCAAGATATATGCCTGAAGGACATGAAAGCTAAAGAAATGGTGCCCAAATAAACGTTCTTAATTTGCTTTTGACCGCATATATATTTTGTAAAAAAGCTGCCCTCATAAGACAAATCGCTTGTCGCGTAGACAGTAGGGCACGTATATTTGCTCGAAAAGAGTAGGAAAGACCTGCTGTCACAAGAACCGAGTTCTATCTTGTGAAAGACCACATACCGGTAAGACTGACCTGTTATTTCCAGTGATCTTAAAAGTCTGCTGAAGAAGCCGTCTTGAGCACTTTGAAACCATATTCCGATGATACATTGACAAGTAAAGAGGGAGTTTAAAGATGTAGCTCGTAGTTTAAAACGTCATTGAAATTCTTTCTTTCCCTATCTTCAAAAATAGCATCCGGATATTTGGCAAGATGTTAAAGCCGAGGGGCAAATAGGCCAAAGCAATGGTGCATTGTACTGTATCACAAACTATTTTACGTATCCCGCAAGCACTTTCTTTTATGTGTAAACGTGATTGAAATGTTCGTCTTTCCGTATCTCCAAAAGGGTCTCGGATGTTCTGCGAGTTGTGAGATCTGAGGGGCAAATACGCTCAAGAAACGGCGAATAGCGAATTATTTTAGATTTGTCCGCGAGCGTTTTGGTAAGGTGGTTCGGGGTTTCCGTGAGGAGAGAAGAAAATCATGAAGAGGCTGACACTAGTGTCTAGACGACAAGTGACCTCATACGAGGCTACTTTTCAACTTATTTTTCCTCGACTTGTACTTGTTGAACAAGAAGGAAAAAGATACTCTCGTCACCGAAGTTTACATCTGCGTTGCGGAAGGACGGAGGTTGGTGAGATCTGCACGTCTTTTCCAGCCATTTTCAGAATGCTTAAACAAGAAGCCGTTTTGACCAACCTCAAAACGTTATGTGTTGATATCTTCGAAACCAAAACGGCTGTTCAAAATATCAACCGAATATTGAAACTTCATTAGATTCTCAGTCTTTCTGTGTATTCACAACTGCTATCCCAATGTTTTGCAAGATTTTATTGCCGAGGGCATATACGTTAAAGAAATTGTGTCCAAACTGACTTTATAAAGTTTCGATTTAAATGTGCATATTTTTGCAAAAAAAAACTGGCCTCAAATCGCTTGTCGTCTAGTGTCTAGACGACCGGCAATTTGCCTCATATGAGGTCAGGCTTGGCCTCATATGAGGCCGGTTTTTTTTTGCAAAAAAGTATACATTAAATCGAAATTTTATAAAATCAGTTTAGACACCATTTCTTTAACCAATATTCCCTCGGCAATAGCTTCCTGCAAAACATCGAGATAGCAGTTATGAATACACAGAAATACTAAGAATCTAACATAGTTTCAACAATCGGATGATATTTTAAACAGGCGTTTTGGTTTCGAAGATATCAACAAAAAACGTTTCGATGTTCTTTAAAAAAGCTTCTTCTTTAGGTATTCTCAAAAAGCCTGGAAAGGACGTGCAGATCTCACCAAGCTCCACCCTTCCACAGCGCAGAAGTCAACTGCGGTGGCGAGAGTATCCTTTTCCATTTTGTTCAGCTAGCACAAGTCGAGAAAAATTAAGTTGAAAAGTGACCTCATATGAGGCCATTTGTCACCTAGACACTAGCAAGAGAGCAAGAGGCTGGCAACAGCTTACAGCATATCCCCCGAAAATCTCAACAGCGGGACACGTCAAATCTGGTCGGACAAAATGAAGAAAATCTTCCTCTCTTTCCGTTCGCTCCACTCCCGGCATCTTCCACCGGAACCACGTTCCCTACCCTGCCTTTGACCACGTTCATCAAGTTCACCTCCTCCCGCCACCATGCAAGCCGAAACGATTCTCCCGACTGGGGCGGCCGAGACGTCGGACCCGCGTCTGGAAGGTCGTGACGCTGGGAGTCTCTCCGCGTCGGAGCTGTTCGACGCTGCGGACGAGACGGCGCTAGAGGTGTCGACGGCTGGGCGGCAGCAGAGAATGGGGCGCGTGGACTCGGACGAGGAGCTGTGCTCGCTGGTGGTGATCGGGTACCCCAACTACGCGAGTGCAGAGGCCGTCGGTGACTATTTCCGCAACGCGGCGCCGCTCAGAGGGCCGCCCACCCGCGCGCCGGGAAGGACCACGGAGAGGGTGACGGTGACGTTCGAGACGGAGAAGGACGCGAAGTTTGCGATGGAGTGGTTTAGGAACCCGAAACGGACGATGGTGGCCGGACATGTCGTCGCCGTGGAGAGGGTTAAGGAGAGGAAGACGGAGGCGTGAGAGGGGCGAGGGTGGAGGTGTTGGGATTCTTCCGTCGGTTAGACATGATGGAGAGGATGGCAGTTGCTACAAATCTTCATGAGCGAGCGGGAAAGGAGGCAGAGAGTGCGAACATGTGGAGAAGTGTGTCGTTGTTTGTACACGTGTGTCAGCTGTGTATGTATGACAACGACGGGTTCTGTGGCGGCGACGGACATGACGGACAAAGACGCACGGTGTGTTTCCTCTGCTGCACCCTCTCGTCCAATCGCACTGCCCACTTTCAGATTTCCGCATCTGCATGTCCTCTCCTGCACTTCCACCTTACCGAACCCCCCCGTCCCTTTATATTCCTCCTGCGTCCCATCCCCCCTCTTCCCCCCCCGCCCTCACCCCCGCCATCCCAATGGGCGCCCTCCTCCCCCCCGCGCCGCCGGCGCGCCCGGCGTGCAACGCCGTGGCCACCTACGTCCACCGCCTCCTGCACCTTCTGGGCCTCTCCGCGGTCGACGCGGAGGAGCTCTCCCTCATCTCCGCCCCGCTTGTCCGCATTCACGCCGCCTCCCTCTCGCGCGTCCTCGCGCACCACCCGCACCCTCTCCACCCCGATGAGCCGTTCGGCTTCCTCCCCACCTCCCCCGCGCCCCCCCTCGCCGCCTCGGCCTTCTTCCTCCACTTCGACACGTCCAACCCTGCGGTCCCGGACCGTGCCCGCCTCGCCACGGCCGCGGCCCCGCGCGCCTGGCTCGCCGTCCACCCCAAGACCGGTCTCCTCTCGCTCACCGTGTCCAAGCTCCACTCGGCCGTCTTCCTTCTGCGCCCGACCTCCTCGCGCGCGCACCACACCGACATCACCCTCTCCTGCCCGTGCACGGCGGGCCGTTTCCTGTCGGCCCATTCCGACACGCTCCGCGCCCGCGTGTCCGCGGACACCCCCGGCCCGCCCGAGACCCTGCGCCTCAACGCCCTCCCGCTCCCGCCCACGCTTGCGCCCCCCCTCCCCGCACGCCCGCCACCGCAGGACTGTGCCATGGCCGCCGCCCTCCGCGCCACGCGCTGCGTCCCCGTCCGCATACAGAGCGTCGCCCGCGCATGGTTTCTCGCGTCTAAGCCCGGCGCCCCGCTCGCCGCGTCGCTCGGCAAGGACACCGGCTGGGACGCCTTCACGCTCGAGTACGACAGCACCACCCGTACCGCGAAGATACGCGACGCCAGAGGCATGCATCTCGCCTTCTCGCCCGCCTTAGACGAAGTCGTGGCCAGGCCTGACGGCGAGGTGCCGCGCCCGGAGAACTTCGCGGTGCTGACTGAGGATGCTGGCGATCGCGTCATGTTCAGGTCGAGGAAGGGGTATCTGTCCGCGCGAAGGGGGGGCCGCGTTGTGCTGAGTAAGGACACCGTTCCAGGAAGGCGCGAGCAGTTTCATCTGCGGCTTGCCCTGCCATCGATGATGGACCAGAGCAAGCCGCGGCTGCGGTTGCGCACCATGCCCGGCGGCGCACGCCAGACCGAGGCGAGCGTGCTCGTGCCGGCGCCTGCCCGTATTGCGTATGAGGTGCTATGCGACTACGACGGCTTCTGCAACTTTATCAGGGACGCCTCGGAGAGCCGCGTGCTGGAGCGCAGGAGCGCGACAGAGCTGTCAGTGCTCATGGTACAGTGCCACTCGTTCCTCATGCTCACTATCCCCATGACTATGGCGCTGCGCGTCAAGGAAGACCCGGAAGCGCGCGTCGTGCGCATGGACCTGGAGCGTGGACTCGGCGTCAAGCAGTACAATGGAGTGTGGAGCGCGGAGGAGCGCCCGGACGGCAGGTGCCTGATCCGCTGCACGCTGCTCGCGCTGTCGGCCGTGCCTGCCCCCGGCTTTTTAGTCGACGGGCTCATGTCGCATGCCACGATGTCCACCATGGAGCAGCTGCGCGTCGAGTGCATTCGCAGGTCGTCTGCGGAGGGCCCGAGGTCCCCGCGGAGGCAGGGCACCGTCGCGCCGGTCGAGGCTTTGGCGGGGGCGAGGGGCGGAATAGAGGCGCTGAGTGTATAGAGCCGGCGTAGCTTCGGTGTTGTGTACAGTAAATTTAGTGGTTTGCAATCCTGTGCGGTTGTAGAGGGAGGAGGGATAGCCGTGCCTTGTATATCTGAACAGTTGGCACGACAGCCTCACACTCGGTATTTGGCACCTGTGTATTATCTAAACGGTGGAAGTGTTGATACGGAAAAGAGTAAAAGGGGAAATGGCACCTTAGCATCGCAAGGTTGGCATGGCTTGTGTCGGGGTATGCCTAGCAGTCTGGAGCGATCAAGAATCCGGCGTCGACCATCATCTTAGCGCTGGCTCCCTTCCCCGTTTCTAAGTCCATATTGATACATTCCAAAACCGCGGCGCCCACCTGCTCACCAAGCGCTTCCTCGCCAATCGCGCGTGAGGTGAAGAGAAACTTGGCGCGCGTAACAGGGTCAATCATGTTGCGCACGACGCGCCACAGCACGTTAAACGCCCTCGGTGCGTCGAGAACGACGATCCTCTTCGCGCGCTCTGGAAAGTGGTTCTGAAATATGCGCATGGTCTCCATGCTAACGGCGATCGGGGGACTATTCTTCGAGCTATACCCCTGCATATCCATGACAATGACCCACTGGCCTTGCTGCGTGGCGGCGTCCCCCAGGCCGCGGTCGGCGAGGCGGGCGGTGCAGTCCAGGGTGAAGAAGAATGCGCGGCGGAAGTCCTCGAAGTCGGGGCGGTGGAAGGCGTCATCCTTCTTGCGCAGGATGAGGACCGGGGACGGCGGGTAGTCCGCGTCCGACAGGGCGGCCAGGAACATGCTGCGCCTCTTGAGCTCGTCCCACACCGTGCGGAACGTGGCCTCGGACACGCCCAGGTCGTCCGCGCGCACGAGGCGGCGGTAGCGGTACGTGGCGAGCACGTTCTTCGCAGCCTTGGCCTCGGTCTTGTACGCGCGTAGGTACCGCGCGGCCGTGCCCGCGCTCAGGAAGGCGTGGGACTTGTCGTCGCTTTGCTCCTCGGACGTTAGCTGCCCGTGCACGAGGGCGAGAATGCGCGCGTGCACGTCCGCGTCGCAAGCGGCCGACATCGCCGAGGCGGGAGAGAGGCCGGCGCTGGTTCGCGAGAGGGTGGGGGTTGTCTCCGGATTTGGTAGGGTGCGGTGAGTGTGGGATGTTGAGTCGGGGGAGGATGTGATGGGGGAAGTAACAGCGGAAGTGATGGGGGATTATGAGTGTCTCAAGTTCAGTGAAGGGTTAACGGTGGAGAAGTTGATGTGGGAAAGCCAGCTAGAGATTGAATAGTCTCCGGTGCTCATGTTTCCCCAGCTGACGAATGCCGTGACTTCATAGAAGGGTGCATAGCCTTGGGGAGCAAGAATGAGTGCTGTGTGCTCCATACACTGTGGCGGTGAGGTCGGCAGTCTCTTGGCAAGGGATGAGGACCTTGGTGACGTGATTCGGTGAGCTGCGGCTGAATTCATACGCGCGTGTGGGACAAGTGGCAGGGGATAAATGGAGCACTTTTTTCAGTTGTACAGTACCGGTACAGTATACTGTACGTGCGATGTCAGGGATCTCAAGGACTCCGTCAACCTCATCCCTCGGCAGCCTCCCCCCTCGCCTGACCATTTCCACGTTTTGCACATTGTCCTGCTATTACACAATCGCGGGCTTGCGAAGACCCCCGTTTGCATCTTCCTTCTCTCCAAAGCCATCCAGTACACACGTTTTCAATGCATGTCCTTCATGACTCTCGGCTAATGTATACTTCCAAAGTATCTACGTAATCTCTACTACGCAGTTTACTGAACAGAGAATCAATCTAGCATATATATGTACATATATATACGCATATATATATATACCGTATATATATATATACATGCTATCATTTTGCACATAGCCGTTTTTGTTTAACGTTTAGTACTCGTGAAGCATATTGTGAATTGCAATATTTCCGTTTTGGCTTATTTTTATCTTTGCTAAAACGAGTTTACTGCACTGGACATTTATGTACTGTTGGGAATTTATCAGCGGTCAGGGGGGGGGGGGGGGGGGGGGGGGGGGGAAGGAAATTTAATTATAAGGGGGGGTAGCGAGAGGGTCAAGACTCGCTCGGGCATATACAGTAGATGGCGAAGGGTATGCGGAATGGTCCGCAAAACAGTCTGATCGGCACAAGTCGCCGGCTGCCTCCCCTCTCCCCAGGGTAGGCCCGCTATCATCTCCCTTTAATACATGCGCGCCTCGCCCGGCCATGTTCTTCATGGCCTCTGCGAATGCGCTCTAACCGCGACGTGCTTGCGAAGCGACTCTTGCCAAATGCAACATATGCATTTGGCCTCTTTGCATTATGCGACCTCCCCATCGCTCTGCACTGTTCTATATACGCATTAAGACATACTCGGTCTTCACTACGAAGACAACCCGGACATGTACTACGTCCGTTCGACGATTACACGTTCAACAACTGTACAGTATATACTGTGTATCAGTGCAAAAATCATATGCCCAAGTTCAACTCTGTACCGTCGCATTGCAGAAAATGTTTATTTTTAAGTTACAGAAATAAATGCTGCGCAATCCCAGTTTCTAATACAGTGCCTCCTACGATATAGTGCTATAGCGTGACATACCTCTAGCTATGGCACTATTGGAGGGATGGCACTATATAAAGGAGGCTCAAATACATATATTTGGGGACAAAGCACATTGCTAAGAGCATCTCCACCGCGGCCCAAAATGTTTGCTATATTGTAAAGTATACCTATTTTGCAAATTTGTCATAACCACCGCGCGACGATGTTGCCAAATCGCTTGGATAAAATACGATTTGCCACCTGAGCGCACGCATTTTTCTCAGAAATGGGCGACTCCGAAAATCCCATTTCCCAATTTATGCACGCACAAATGGTGATTTATGTATACACAAATCCCGTGTACTTCGCATGCTTCTCCTCATGCGAAGTTGATTTGTGTATGACACAAATCTTCCGCTTGCGCATTTTCCATTGTAAGCCTCCAATCCTCTTGCCCCTTAAGCCCGCCACCAACCCACACCAAAAGCATCTTTCGTGACACCCTTCCCTGGCCATCGACACCGAGTTACGATGTCCTCTCCCGCTGATGAAGACCCTCCTCATGCATCACCCCCTCAATCCGACAATGCAGCAAATCAAAACTCTATACCCCCGCCCACGCCTCTTTCTCCCACCCTTCCGGAAGTCCCCATCGTTCCTCCTACCAGTCACAACCCTCTCACCCCAACACCCTCATGCCATCCACTCACGGACCCCACACTCCTGGACAACGACACACGCTGCCCTTTGTCAATGCCTGTCTTTCAGCCCCTTCCAGTCTCCCAGCGCCGTCTCCCGACTTCAGCGCTTCGACACCGAATGTACCCCCACTATCTCCGGTAGTTTTCATGTCCGAGCCAGATCCAACACGTCCTGCTGCGCCTGCAATTCATCAACGACCGCAAACGACCCGGTTTCCGCGACATGTCCGCCGTCCGCTCAAGCCCCGCAAGAGAATATCGCGGAATGTGGCATCCGGTGAGAGAAGATCGCGAAATGCTCGGGCTCCTGGTCGACGCGGAAGCGGTTTCACGCAGCAACAGACCGACAATCTTCTTGAATTGTTAATAGAGCACCACCGCTGTGCAGGGATGAGTGAGAAACAGTTTTGCGGCTTCACCGTGATCGTTACCCAGGAGTGGAGAGAAGTGTCGATTCAATAAGGCGAAAGTTTGGGGCACTCCATCGAAAGAGAGTGCCCACGGGTGATCCTAATATTCCACCAGATGTGAAGAAAGCGAAGCGCGTTCGGCAAAAAATGACGGAAAGAGCCGACATTGGCGATGCCGATTTTACCGAAGACATTTTATAAGAATCGATTCCTGATCATTCGTCAGGATCAGGTATCGCGCCGATATTTTGGATTGACGACGAGACAGAAGGTGCGGGAGCTCTTACAACCGTAAATGAGCGTGAAGAGCAAGGGAGCGAAGACGCGCGCGCATTCGCCTCTACGTCTGCGGACATAGAAGTTGAAGGGACTCAGAACAATACTGCTGCGCTGCCTAGTTTAAACTCTCGTGGCATGTCACCAAGACCACTTGTTCGCAAGAGAAGCAGTCTGTCAGGAGACGTGCCAAAGTCTGGCGTTGACGATATCCTTTCTTTGATAAAAATGTCAATGCTACAGGATCAAACGCGAAGAGCAGATGAGCTGGCGCAGAGGGAGCTGGATAAACTGGAGGAATGGCAGAATAGGGCGGAAGAGAGGAGGCGAAAGGAGCAAGATCGAGTTGATGAAATTGCTCGACGGGAGGAGCAGGGGTCGCGTCGTGAAGCTGAGTGTAGTATAACGACGGACGCGCGCGCGGGGAGATTATTAACAGTGCGGCCGTGCACGGTGGACACGTGGGCGGGTGTGCCCACGTGTAGGGAGCGCGCGCGTGCCGAGCGGTCGTAATCTGGCGTACGTGTACAGTAGTGCACGTGCCGGCCAAGCGGTAGTCTACCAGTATGACGCGTGTACGCTAGCACACGTGGCATCCGTGCGGTAGTCTGTAAGCAGCGCGTGTGTACAGTAGTACACACGTGTAGCTGCAGCGTCCGCGCGGTAATTAGGAATTGAGGCGCTAGTTTTTTAATGGCGTACAGTACCTGGTACGCACTAGGCGGCAGGTACTGTATACTGGGACAGGTGTCCGAGGCGTCCCTCTGAGGGGTTAAGACCTGACACCCGTCCCCACCAGTAAACTGGGGCAAGCTCGCCCCCGTCCCTTTTGCGCCTACGTACGTCCGTTTCGGTTGTCCGCCGCGCGCGCTGGCTTCTAACCCGTTACCGGTCGCTCCCGTTTACGCACCACGGGGCGACTGCGCGTAACCGGCCAGTGAGCCACTCCCTTTTCGCGAGCTCGTCCGATCGGTTCAATTGGCGCGTCGCGTCCGCGCCGCGTGCTCCCTCGCTAAAGCCTCCGCCTCTCACCCAACCCAGGGCGGAGAGGAGTTATCCCACATTTGGTACTCTTGTGGAGGGGATAACTCTCGAGGTTGAGCCGCACGCGTGGTCGCTCGATCGCGCGCAGAACCGTACGGACGGAAAAGGTTGAGAAATCACCGCGTCGATCGCGAAGCGTATTCGACGATGAACCGACCGGAAGAAGGGGGAGACTCCGCCTCCGGGCGTCTGAGCACCCGCAGTGGCAGTGGCGCACCGCGCCCCCGGGTGGAGAACCCGGAAGCCCTGCTGCGACCGCCACCGCGACCGGGCCGCACGCGAGCGTCCGCATCGGATGTTACGCCGGCCGTGTCGGCAGGCACCGAGAATCGCGTCCAATGGATGGTCGACGCGATTCAGCCGCGCATCCAGGCCTGGGTCGAGGAGTTCCTCGCTACGGAACTCCCCCAGGTAGCGCGCGTATGCCTCGACCGAACGGTGCCCGCGCTCGTGGACGCGCACGTACGCAGCGCGATACCACCGCTTTTGGACGAACTTCTACCCGCTCAAGTCCAATGCGAGGTGGTGACCGCGCTCACCACTGTGGATGAAGAATCCCCGTCCGGTACGGCTCTAAAGGGAGCCATCAGCTCCGCCGTGGCCAATCGTCTGGCCACGACCTTCGCCGGAGCAGGAGTCGACGCACGCGAGCAGCGCGACTCGACCGCTCCGGATCCTACGCTAACGCACGCTGAACCGATCGGCGCCGCACCCGGGATCGGTACAATGGCCCCTCACCCGGAGGGTAAGACCATTTACCTCCCACCAATTTATGGTGCTACAGGAGGGCCCACAGAAAATGGCCCTCCCGTACTCGCCGATACGGCTGGCCCCCGCGGGACAGAAAACCGCCTGGGGCGCTTCGCGA